AAGATAAAGATAAAGATAAAGATAAAGATAAAGATAAAGATAAAGATAAAGATAAAGATAAAGATAAAGATAAAGATAAAGATAAAGATAAAGATAAAGATAAAGATAAGGATAAAGATAAAGATAAAGATAAAGATAAAGATAAAGATAAAGATAAAGATGAAGATGAAGATGAAGATGAAGATGAAGATGAAGATGAAGATAACGGTAAAGATAAAGATAAAGATAAAGATAACGGTAAAGATAAAGATAAAGATAAAGATGATTTATTTTGGAACGAATTTCCGTCATCCCTTGTCAAGTTTGGTTTGCAGAAAAACCGGTTTCAGCATTGTGCCATTTTCAGTGTAATTTTCCGAAAAATCAACCAACACCAACACATAAAGATTAAGATTAAGATTAAGATTGAAATTAAGATTAAGATAAAGACAAAGATAAAGATAAAGATAATTAATAAATTGCGGTGATTCTTTGAAGTTTGTTGTGACCGGTCTTCTGCATTTTATTTCATAAGAAATTTGTGCTCATATAGAAACAAGTAAGAAAGTCTAAGTTCGGGCGGAGCCGAACATTAAATACCCGGCGCAATTATTAAATATATGTTTTCCACCTTTCCGAAAACTACCGCTACACGATAAGCCGGGGTGTATAAATTTTAAGTAAATTAGCGTCCTTAAATTTCGAAATATTGAAGTTTCAAGCATTACTGAAATATACCGTTATATTAAAAGCGGTCGTAATTTAGTCCGATTTCAATAATTTTCAACGCTTTGCTTTTATGTGGCAAGCACAATAATCATACCGAGTTTGGTTCAAATTGCTAGAACGGTTAGCGAGATACATATATGTGATCATAAGTGGGCGGTGCCACGCCCATTTTCCAAAATTTTATCATAAGCGTATTTCTTGGTAAAAAATTGTTGCAACCATCAATTTTGAATAAATTAGCTTTAATATTTACTGATTTATCGAGGATTTCGTATTTTTCTAAATTACCGTTATATGGGATGTGGGCGTGGTTATTGTCCGATTTTAAAAATTTTCGGCCATTAAATATGTTGTAGCAGGATCAAGAACTGTGCCAAGTTTGGAAGAAATTGGTGCAGCGGTTACCAAGATATACGCATGTAACCATAAGTAGGCGTGGCTACGCCCATTTGCCAAAATTTTTTAATATTCTTATTTTTCGTCTAAAACTCATTGTAAATATCAATTTTGAGTGAATTATCTTCAGTAGTTACTAAAATATCGCACTTTTCGTATTTCTGAAAATTACCGTTATATGGGAGGTAGGCGTGGTTATTGTCCGATTTCGCCCATTTTCAATACCATCCGTCCCATGCCCAAAAGAAGTCCACGTACCAAGTTTCGTTAAGATATCTCAATTTTTACTCGAGTTATCGTGTGCACAGACGGACGGACGGACGGACGGACGGACGGACGGACGGACGGACGGACGGACAGACAGTCACCGCTTAATCGATTTCTCTTTTCATTCTGATCATTTATGTATACATTTGTCTATATCTATCTCGATTCGTTTTGCCTGTTACAAACAACCGTTATGTGAACAAAGTTATAATACCCTTGTGCACAAGTGCGCTCGGGTATAAAAAGTGCAAAATCCCATGAGCACAAAAAAAATTCATTTTGTTATTTATGGCCTTGTAATAAATAAGAATAGTTGAATAGAAAAAAAATATAAATAAAATATTTTATTGTATAGGCTATACAACTGCATACCCAGAAATATTGTAAAGATTCATGCTCGGTTTCACCCATGATACAAAAAAGAAGGTAGTTTCATTTAATGACATTCGTTGTTTTTGTTAACCATTTGACTTTTAATCAAATTATGCCATTTCATTAAATTCATGCTACCTGATCAAAAAGGGGGTTGACGAAACTAGGTTTCAGAACGGATGAAGAAAGTGATCAAAATTATACTTATGCTAATTGCTTATCGGAGGGCGGTCTGCGCAAGCCGAATTCAAGTTTTTTGCATACATTGGAAATTTTAAATTCGAACTTTGTTGAAGTTAATGGTGATACGCTAACCACAAAGCCCAATTTTTTGCAAAATCTGATGAGAAATTTAAAAGTAAATTTTCACGAATTTCATGTGAACAAATAAAATAATTGTTCCCAATTTGTTTTTGTTTTGCATGTTAAGTTATGAGAACAATTTATTCACATTGAATTGGTGATTATAAAAGGATTTTTTTGAAAAGAGAATTCTTTAGAACTAGATTTTTAAATTGCAAGATTGCATACAAAATAAGAAAATGAAAAAATAACAACATAAATGCCATAATGGAGTGTCAAATTTTAGCTGTCACAAATTACACAACCTTGTATTATTGAATCATGGGTTTCACTCCTTTATCTAGATTTGTATTTTGGAAGTAGGAGAAAGGGGAAGAATGTGATCGCATTTTGCGAAAACGGTAGTAGGAATGTACTACAAAAAGTACGCAAAGTATACAATTAGAAGTAAAATGTGCATTATTAATTCTATGCGAATTTGCAATATATTTGGTGTTTTAATGGAAATACTAAACAATACATAAAAATGTGCATTTTTGATTTAAGTTATTCGTCATTTCCGGGAACAAATCTAGAATACCGACCGTTCAACTATGCAAAAACGAAAAATGCAGAGCAATAGAACTTTTTATGCTCATTTCAACCATGCCAAAATGATTTGGCGCAAGTAAATTCTAGAAGGTTAAAGTTCTGTTTTTAATAATAATAATAGATTGGCGCTTACACATATGTTAGTATTTGGCCGAGCTTCTCCTCCGATTTGTGGCGTGCGCCTTAATGTTGTCACACAAAGCGAGGGACCTACGGTTTTACGCCGACTCCGAACGGCGATTGTATTTTTATGAGAAGCTGTTTTCATGGCAGAAATGCACTCGGAGGTTTGCCATTGCCTGCCGAAGTTCAGTTTTTAGATATTTTAAATATTAATATCTTATGAACTTTATAACCGATTAAAAAGCTAATGACGTCACCATAAGGGTAATTAATTTGTTCTTCAGCTGATGAACATAATTTATAGCTTTTTGTATTTTTAAACCAAAACCACTATAAAACGAACAAATATTATTTTTTCATGAAATAACCTTTTTTGAAAAACTGCATAATTAATGGTAAATAATTTTATATTATTTTGAAAGAACAAGTTATTATCTTTAATTCGATATTACATATTTTATCATGATCTACTTTTGGGTTTCAACAATTTAGTGATAATAAAAAATACAAATAAACCTCTTATATCTTCTTTTTTTACCTGCGCCAAATAAATTTGGTATCGTTGAAATCAGCGTAAAAAGTTCTATCAATCGGCATTTTTGGTTATTTTATAGCTAAACGGTCGCTATTCTATGCATGTTCTAGAAAATTACGCAAACGAAGGTGACGCCAACGAATATTTTGTATGAAAAATTTTTGGTTTTACTACTAATATAACTAGAAACTATAGAGTAAGCAACATTCTGCACAAGTAAAGGAGCCGATTTTATGTGTGGGAGCGAGAAGACTGTTTTATTACAAAACCTTTCTATTATTGAATCATGGGTGAAACCATGATACAAAAAAGAAGGTAGTTTCAATAAACAACTTTTGACTGATAATACAATTTTTTGAAGTTTCATAAATTGTGAGTATTATCAACGGCCTTACCACTTTGATAATATTAAAACAATAAATCGGGGTATTTTCCTTCCCATATTTATACCAATGTAATATTTCAAATCAAAAACCATTGTCAGTGCTTGGTACTTACTTTCACTTACATAGCTCGCGCTATTTTTATTAAAAATATATAAAAGATAGACTATTAAAAAGACTTCATCGCAATTGTTCTTTTTATTTGATAATATAAACCACGCGCGCATTATGATGTTAGTTTTTCGTTTTCTTATTTTGAATGCAATCTTGCGATCTTAATATCTAATTCTAAAGAATGTTCTTCTCAAATAAAACCTTTTTTATATTTTGGCTCAAATTTACTTTTAAATCTCTCATCAGATTTTACAAAAAATTAGGCTTTGTGATTAGCGTATCAATAGCTTTCACAAATTTTGAGTTCAAAGTTTCTAATGTATGCAAAAAACCTAAAGTCGGCTTGAACAGACCGCCCTCCGATAAACAATTAACATATCATCGTATGAAGTACAAAACACTGTATCAACAAAATGCAAAACTGCGTATGTGAGGTTGCATAAATTATTTTCTAGAGAATAAACAATCTCATATTTCGAAATCGTTCTCTTTTTTACAAAGCAATCGCATTTCTGTTTAGTATATTTCAGGGCGATTGGATAAGGCTTGAGCCAAATCCAATTTTTGGCAAAAAATGTCGGTTACGCGGTTTTGCAGAACGACGATACGTGGTTTTGTACTTTAAACGACGAGACGTAAGTATAATTTTTATCACTTTCTTCATGCGTTCTGAAGCTTAGTCGTCAACCCCATTTTCGAAATTGTGTAGCCGGCATAATTTTCAAGTCCATCATATTCCATATCTTTGAATGTACTGATAAAATCTTCTGCTTTAAAAAAAATATTACTTCTAGTGATCAGGTAGCATGAATTTGATGAAATGTCATAATTTTATTAAAAGTCAAATGGTTAACAACAACAACGAATGTCATCAAATGGAACTACCTTCTTTTTTGTGTCATGGTTTCACCCATGGTGGGGTTTCACCAATCAGTTTTAAAATTTATCAAACTGTTAAAATTTAAAATGACGAATATTCCGAACGAAATTGTGTAATTGTAAATTTTTACAGGCTGATAGATTTAAAATTGATTGGTGCAACCGGCCATCAGATTACAAAGCTTAAAATTTTTCATAAAATTTGAAACTTTGATTTACATACATGTATTGTTTGGATAATATTTTTATAAAAAATTTGAACAAGATTGTGCATATTTAAAAAAAAATCCACACGTGGTCACTTGTTGGGCTTGGCTAAAACACTTAAAAAATGAAAGCGGCAACTATTTTAGGGCCTAAGTATGATGACAGACATGTAGCCTTATGGATTTATGTTGGAACTTAGTACTACATATTACCATATTTCGGGCCCCGGCGAAGTCGATCAGCCTCAGTCCGTTACCGGACGTTTCGTCGTGGAGGCTGAATTTTCAGACAGTGGCGCCAAAGATTCCTTCCTTGCGCTTATAGAGGATATCCTTGGACGCCTCGTCCTTCTTTTCCGTTGGGGTATGGACGCAGATGAGTGATATGTTGAAGAATCTCGCTTTGATGCGGATTGTGGCTAGACGTTCGTCCACCGGGGTGAACGCCAGTGCTCGGCGACGGAGTCTCTCCCACCACAAATCCAACACGGAATTCGCGCTCTTTAACGTGGCAACTGTAGTAGATGTCGCAAGGCTCCACGCTTACCTTGCCTTGCCCCATCCATCGCATTTCTTTGATGGCGGTGATGTCTGCCTTTGACTTCCCAAGGACATCAACCAGCCGGGCAGAGGCACCTTCGCAATTAACGGTCCGGATATTCCAGGTGCATACCCTCAAATCATAGTCCTTAATACGTTTGCCATGGTCGTCATCAGAAAAAGTGGCTCTCATCCAAGGCTGTTTTTTTTTCATTAGGCGGACACTCAAATCCAGCGAGCGCAAAGTTGTACCCCCCCTCTCACTTTAGCTCGCCCCCAATCAGGTGTTTGGTCGCTACCCAGACGATACGTGGATATAAATATCCGGACGTTGTGAGCTGCGATTTGAACTATACGCTTAAGAATCACTTCTGGCCACTCCCAGATGAATGGCAGTCAAAAGTTTTTTCCACCTTCGTGGACTTCTGCGCACGGAGCCAACCTACTAAACAAATACGATGACCAAACCGAAGACTATTACTAAGACGAACACGAGTACTTAGATGAAGAAGAGAAATTTGAAGACACGAAGACGAGCTCAAATACGAATATGAATACAAAAAAAAATTCGATGACGAAGGCTTAACCGACCGAGACTTGTGGCCGTTTGTTCAATGTCTGGTTATCACTACCTCCCAGTTAATTAGTATTATTGACGTTTTAGATAAAGCAGTCGTTGCATTTAACCGATGCTTTCACTTCCGGTTTGTGTTAACCGGACATTGACAGACAGACCAACCCCTTTTACCTCCTCTAAGCTTGAAAATGCTACGCTCAGCATGAGCGGCTCGTTTCCCTGGTGTTGATACCGATGATGTCAATGTCATCTGCATACGCCAGTAGCATCGTACTTTTGATTTTATTGAAGAAAACGGAGTCGCCATGTCTAAAACCTCGTCTGTTCTCGAACGTCGCGGATAGGTCCTTACCAAACTGGACGCAGCTAAAAGTTGAGCTCAACATCCTTCAACATATGTATTTTCTTCCTCTTGAGAAGACGTGTCTCTTCTCTACATATGTGCAAGCGGTGAAGAGTTGCTTGATCATGCAGGATTGAGAGTCAATTGCGAAACTTCTTGGCTGTACATTGCGACTTCAGGTTTCGTCGCGCCGTCTGATGCATGTTCTTTATCGAACAGAGGCGGATGCAGACAATAGCTACAACGAGGTAGTCATCCGAGTCGCTATGAGCTCCTCGAATAAGATGCCCATCAAGAATACTTGGTGCGTATCTTCCGTCTATCAAAACGCGACCCTATTAAGCTGGCATTTCAGGGTACTATTTTATATATATATAAGGAAAATTTGAAAGTTAGGTGGGGGGGGGGGGCTCGAGCACCCCCCTGCCCCTACCTGGCTACGCCCATGGATAGTATACTATACTACTTAATATAGTATATACATACATTAATGGCATGAATGCTCTCTTTTACAGCAAATGGCAACCCATCGAAAAATGTGGAATGTACCCAACAAAGATGAGGCCGTGCTCTGGCTATGGGCAGCACATAACGAAGTGAACAATCGTCTAGCAGGCGACGATACCGAGGATCCTAAATTTCCCAAAATACAATTTCCCAGCGAATCATCGTGTTCCCAATGTCGCAAATCGGATTCAACATTTACGTCCAGTAAAACTGATATCAATTGGGATAAAGATGCTGTGCTGAGTTTTCTTAAAAATATACACAATCCTGGATTTGTAAGTCGTTACGGCGTAGACAATGAGGCTGTGCTGCAGCCATCGTTGGATAAGTTGCGTCAGAAGCGCATGATTGGTAATGTATTCTCTGAAATGGACATGCGCATGGGTATGTTGTTGTATGGATTTTGCATCGTCATGATGGTTGTCGCATTCAAACTATTTGCCATGAAGGGTTATCGAAAAAGGCCATATATGCATGATGTGCTCGGAAAAGTTTAAGTTAGCGACGGAGAAAAATCGATACATCTTAGTAATAAGTGAAAAGGATGTTGAAAGGAGGGATTCAGTGAGCAAGGTGCCCACGTGATTCGTAAGCTAGTAAAACCTTTTTTATTTGTTTTATTTTACTCTAGAAAAAGACAAGTGATTCCATTTATATACATATATTAAAATTTATATATATACATACATGCATACATATGTATATATAAATATACACCTCGATCCACTTGAATTGGCTAATTTTTTTTTGGTTTTTCTTCGAAAATCCGAGTTCATATCTGGACTTGTGGGCATCGGAGAAGCTTCATTTTAATTTAGTTTTGAAGAATGATCAATATCGAAGTAAAGCGATGAACGCAAAGAAACTAACTTTATTACTTTGGTTTTCATTTCGCTTGTTTATTAAACTATACGAAAAATATGTTTATAAGATGACTGGCAGCTGCTCCTTCCGGCGATTAAAGTGCCAAAGAGCGAGATGTCTTTGAATTATTTAAAATACCCCCAGAACCGTTTTCCGTACAGGTTTTTTTCCATACATTGGAATTAGGGATGTAGTTTCAAATACTAAAAGTGTTAAAAATATAATCAAAATTAAAGGTAGATATGATTCCTTGTGTTAAGCCCAATGTGCCTATTCAAGTAGAAGAATAAAAACCAAAGGCATGTTCTTCCTTTTCACCATTTTCGAAATCAATCATTCCTCAAAATGAGATTAAAATAAATAAAAAATGTGTCTATTCAAGTGAATGGCAGTGTGTATATAAAATATTTAAATAAAATAAGTGGAGTTTTGTGTGGAATGCATATCGTTACTTTAATATAGAAATACCCTTACTCCTTTTTTATTTTTGAAATTCAGCTCTTTACAAAAATTGGTATATTACCCACTAAAAACTTAATTAAACTTAAAATCAACTACTACATTAAAACATCAGTTTCTATGTTTATTGAAGAAAATCATAACTTCAAGAACTTTAGTTTGTATAAGGTTTTATAAATACTGTGTAAGGAAACAAAAATGTTAAACGGCGTTTCTACGACAACCGAATCACCTTGTTCGCTCTCTCAATTACGGCGAATTACCCCATGATAAAAACATAAACAATAAACAAATACCATATTTCCACTCCGACATTATTGTTAAATTAGTGAACAGATTTAATAAATTAAATTTTTGTAATAAAGCGTGAACTGTTGTCTACAAGTGTGTGTAAAAGTTTTTTGATTCGATTCACGCGTTTGGGCACAGCAACCCAAAATCGTTGTACAAATTCATAACGAGTACCCCGGGAATTAACTGCATTTGATCCGGATTAAGTCCGAGTTAATCCGGATCAACGCTGCCGTCTGTTTAAGCTTTTAGATAGAGTCTTTCTATATTAAGGCAACGATATTCATGAATGCGCGCAGACTTGATGTGTAAACATTTCTAAAGAAAGTGAAGAAGTAAAGAGTGACTATTTTTAAGATATGATATTCTAAAATGATTGTTAGTTATTTACGCTACTGAATATAAAATCCTCAAACGTCATTTCAATGCTGATTTCCCAACATATAAAAGTTACCCTTTATGTACAATATTTTGTAAGAAATGAGCGATGGTTGTAACGAACCCACAGAAAAAACAAGCGACATACATACATACGTACACATGTATGTATGTTTCACTGCATTTTTATTAACAAACTACTGACATTAAAACAGAAATATACATACATAAATATGTTTATATTTTTAAGCAAACAAATAAAATCCGCTAAATTTATCAAATTGCATTTCCTTTGTGGCGATTCGTGATCCGCAATACTACTTCATATATGTATGTATGTTTAGTCAAGAGGCAGCTGATAATTTGGGATTGTGATGCACGTCGGCGGACTCATTAAATTAATACAAATTTATTTTTAAATAAATACAATGAAAAGATCATTTGAATTTTTCTTTAACTCTACTTACAAGCAGAGGTATGTACATATAACAGATGAACAACAGATAAGGTGGACTTTTGTTGACTTTTTGTTGGGTGCACTTGATTGTTTGGTGTTACAGACAGTATATGTACGCGTGTAAAACATGATATGAACACCACAATGTAGAGACAAGACAATGTAATTGCTACTGAGATGTACATAAGATGCAGCTCAACAACAAATATAAACAACTGGGAGATAGCACTGCCTAATTTGAGTGTAAAGGGCCATAACTCAAAATTTTATACAAAATCGATTTTTAACCATATACAGTGGTGGAAATAATTATAGCCGCACCACATTTTGACAAGATTTAACATATTATTTTTGGTTTTATTTAATTCTGGTTACTGTTATATCAAAATATAGTTCATTCCTAAACAAACCATGTGCAAATCCAAGTTTCTAACATTGTGCAATGTTCTAAAAAATCAACGAATTTTCGTAAAAATTTCTAGCTTTTTTAATAAGATTTTCCAACAAAATTCTGGGTATGCAGTTTTGTAGCCCATAGAATTCCAGTAGAACAAAGTGCAAGTTTCAAATAGCTAAAAATTACCGTTAATTTTTTAGAAATTTTCTTTGTCGCGGATGTTACGGGTTTCTTCCATATAAGAATTAATTGTGTGTATTCGTTATATGGAAGCAAAAAAAATAATTCTAAAAAATTAACGGTAATTTTTAGCTATTTGAAACTTGTACTTTGTTCTACTAGAATTCTATGGGCTACAAAACTGCATACCCAGAATATTGTTGGAAAATTATTAAGTTATTAAAAAAGCTAGAAATTTTAATGAACACGAGAGAGTCGAATCGTATCGAAAATTTCACGTCATTGCCTAAAATTTCCACTCGATTAGTGTATTAAAACGGAATAACTCGGCAGCACTGTGTAGTTTTCACGCGTTTTGGACGTTTTTAAGCTGAAATTAGTCAAGAACGTAAACCTACCGGTACGTAAACCCGAGTCAGCTGACACGATCTGTCTTACCAAAGCGCCATGTAAATGAAAGCTCAACACCGCAGAGTTTTTCTGTAGTTGTAGCCCGTGTCAGCTGATTTCTCCTTCTTTAGATGGTTGCCACTTCGTCAGTTTTACAGATGGTAAGAAAGTTATAAGTTCCTATTCAAAATATGTTTAAAATATTTGAAATTTACTATTGAATAAGGTTTTTGTAGAAAACTAAGTAGTTTATATTTAGCTAAAATCTTATATAGCACGAAAAATTGTAGTTGAAAGGGTAAGTTTATGAAATGGCATTCATGAGTGGCAACAGTGTAGTAAGCAACACTGAGGGCTCCAGTAATCGACAAAATTCTGCGTATACAGACTGCGTTAAGTATACGTTCTGCGTTCTCGACTAATTTCAGCTTTACTTATTTCAGTACGGCAATAGACAATGCTACTGTTGTCGAGTCATACAATTTAGCCTACTTTACGACATACGCAACGAGGCTGGAAAGTTTGTTGATTTTTTTAGAATATTGCACAAAGTTTGAAACTTGGATTTACACGGGGTTTGTTAAAGAATGAACTATCTTTTTATAAAAAAATAACCAAAATTAAATAACAACAAAATAAAATATTAAAACTTGTCAAAATATGGTGCGGCTATAATTATTTCGACGACTGTATGTATGTACATTAGGGTGGTCCAAAAATGCATGTAATCGACTCTTCACATGTTAGCTCAATCCTACTCAGCTAACACCCCTCTCCCTCTAGTTCGCTACGCTTCCACAGGAGTAGTCATCGACAAGTTGAGGACCTTGACCGTCGGGGCCAGTAGGTGCATTTTCTTTCCCTCTGGTGTATGTAAGAGGCGCACTCTCGGCTCCGTTTCAGTCCAGTAGTATCATTTTTTTATGTCTTGGGAAATCGGTTGAGATTCACTTGTGGTAGACGATCGCGGCTGTGGTGCTGTATAAAAAGGTGGACACTTCAATGTCGCTTCGAAGTTAAGACACAAAAGCTGGCGCGTCTGAGTTACGATAGTTTGTCTGACAAAGCTGATATGGAATAGTTTACTGACAGTGCTGAATCGGCACAAAGTTAGGATAGTACATTGAGTTATGATGATTTTTCGCACGGCGATAGGTTAGATTGGCTGCTATCGACCAGTTAAGAGGAAGTAGCCCGAGGATATCGAAATGTTGACTGGCGGGTGATGCGCAGACGAGAGTATTTCCTAAAGTGGCAGGAATTCACGTGACTGATGTCGCATAAATGCATATCCGGCTCATGACACTCGGAGCAGATGGTATAAGTAAGGAACAAGAGCTGCTGGTTCTGCAAATTTCTGCAAATTTTCATTAAAATATCGTATTTTTCAATTACCAACTTGAGTATGGAGTTTTTAGCCCATTCATTCTTAGTATAAATAAATAAAATGCAAGTCTGAGGTAGCTAGGACTTACCAATGATTTTTTTTTTTAATTTCTTTGTTGAAGGTGTTGCTCATTTTCTCCATATAAAACAAGAAAGTCTCAAGTTCGGGCGTAGCCGAACATTAAACACCCGGCGCAAATCTTAACTATGTATATGTTTTTCACCTTTCCGAAAGCTACCGCTACATGGTGAGCCGGGCTGTATCAATTTTGAGTAAATTAGCGTCCTTAAATTTCGAAATATTGAAGTTTCAAGCATTTCTGAAATTTACCGTTATATGAAAAGCTCGGTTATTTTAGTACGCTTTCAATAATTTTCAACGGTTTGCTTTTATGTGGCAAGCATAATTACCATACCGAATTTGGTACAAATTCGTAGAACGGGTACCGAGATACATATATGTGATCATAAGTGGGCAGTGCCACACCCATTTTCCAAAATTTTATCATAAGCGCATTTCTTAGTAAAGAATTGTTGCAAACATCAATTTTGATTAAATTAGCTTTAATATTTACTGATCTATCGAAGATTTCGTATTTCTCTAAATTACCGTTATATAGGATGTGGGCGTGGCCATTTAGTATGCTGTACCAAGGCCAGCAACTGTGCCAAGTTTGGAAGAAATTGGTGCAACGGTTACCAAGATATACACATGTAACCATAAGTGGGCGTCCCATTTTTCAAAAATGTATGTTTTTATTTTTCGTCTAAAAATAATTGTAAACATCAATTTTGAATAATCTTCACTAAAATATCGCATTTTCGTATTTCTGAAAATTACCGTTATATGGGAGGTAGGCGTGGTTATTGTCCGATTTTGCCTATTTGCTTATTATTAGCGATTTGCGATAGAAAACTTTCAATTGAAAGGATGTGTATTTTTAATTAAAACGTATTGTATTGTGAATATGTAAACTGCTATTTTGACCGAAAAAATAAGTCAGAGTTAACTGTTATAATGGACCATTCCCACGACAGCCGGTTCTACGTACCGGAATGACTCGGGTTTTACCCAGCCACAAAAGTGGCCACCCGAACAGACAGCTGCTTGCAGAGGAACCCTCGCCTAGGCACGTCCGGAGGCATCTATGTATATGAACTGACGGACGAAGTCCAGAGGTTCGTCAAGCAACGCCGAAGAAATAAAAGTAAATTTTTAACTTTTATTTTTGACCGAAAAATAAAAGTAATATTTTAATTTTTCTATTTGATCAACAAAATAAAAGTGAAGTTTTAACTTTTACTTTTGACTTAAAAAATATCAGTCAAAAAATAACTGTTAAATGCTGACTTTTTTTTTTGAAAAAAAGTAAAAAAGAAAAAATAAGATCATATAGCATTAACATTCCTTGGCTAACAAGCATCACATTGCTATATATATAAATGTTAACAAGACCAATTCTTTTCGACTGACTTTTTGAATAGAAATAATGAAAGTAACTATTATTTTCGATCGTTGTTGCTTACTGATTATAATACACTACTTTTTTATTGTTCATTTTTAAAACTAAAAATTAAGTAAGCATGAATAAACATCACACCTAAGGAAGTCAATGCAATTACGTAACAATCAAATCTAGTCCAATAACTTTTTCTTCGACTTGGGAGTCGATATCGTTTTGAGTGCAACCCTACGCGGTGTTTTATTGCTCGACATGGGTGTTTTTGGTGTTGGAGTCTTCGCACCATCTTTGTTTGTGGATGGTGTTTCCCCAACTATAGACTTTTCCACGGTTTTATCGCCTACGTCTACGGCCACATCTGCAGACGAAACGTCTACCGAATCCTCGTAGACCAAACGTATATCCTCTGTGCACTCCAGTGTGGTATCGTTATTTATAACAGCTTTTGGGTTGGAGGCTACAATTGTTTTGATAGGCCCTTCCCCTTCGGCTTTTGATGGTTGAGATGCGTTTAGCTTTGCAGATTCCTCATCTTCTACTTCCATGGGTGTTGGCCAGGCATCAAGCGCTACTTCTTCCACAGTTGTTGTAGTCGGTGGTGCTGGGGCCGCAATAATTGCACGTGGTGCTCGACGTATTGATATTGGTGTTGCACCCTTTGACTGGCGCGTTGCGCCGGCATTGAGTTTTGGAACCGATGCTGGTGACTGCATCTCCTGCGCTAGAGTATTTGCAACTATCGCAGAATTAGGATTTGTCTCACTTGCTGTGGGAGTGTTAGAAGTTTTGGTTGTGCTTGACAAAGGAGCCCCACGGGGTGTGCGTCTCACCGTTATTGGTGTTACTGTCCGACTTTTTTTCTCCGGTGATTCGAAACGCTCATCGGAGCTTAATATTTCCTTATCAATAATAATTTTAGCACCAAGTGTTTTTGTTATTGCTAAAGCGGTAGCAGTATTGCTTGAATTCTTTTGGAGGCCCTCCTTAGCTGGGGTTACTATAGCACTTTCTTCGGCGCTAATACTTTTTACAACTTCTTCTGGTGGTTTACGCTGCGCTTCATCCTCTTGCATTGGATCCTCAACACTTTGCTCCTCAGATATTTCCGTTAGTGCATCGCGCTTGACCATGCTTATATTCTTTTGCTCATCTGTAGATTGTTTGCGCTCCTTTAAACTTTGCCCATCGTTTTCCTTTTGTTTCTTTACCCTCTTAACCACTGCACTCGTGTCATTTGCACCAAGCACTTGCGCCGCGTTTTCATATTCCTCTCCCAATTCACCTGCCTCAAAAGTGATTAGCGAACAGAAACCATCTGTGCTTGATACAACCACAATTCGACCATCACTCGACCAGGTCACATCGGTCAAACGCGTGTAATGAATGTTGGAGATTACAGCAAAAGGTTGTCGCTGCTGTGTATCATAGAAGTAAACGGAACAACGTGTAGCCACAGCGAAAATCATGCGGTACGGCAAGGGCACTACTGGCGGATTTATATCAAGTTTATGTGACCGCAATCGATATAAAATCGGACAACATCGCACTGCTACAGTATACTGCCCTGGGCAAGGCAATACAATGGCAGGTTGTCGAAAAGCGTGGCGGCTAAAGACATACGTGGTGTGTAATGATTGTGCGACACTATCAATTTCAGCAACACCAGCCGGCGTTAGCAACAATTTACCATCTGGTGTAAAGCAAAGTCGACGAAAGAAAGTCTGTAATGTGTCGTCGTGGAATAGACGCAACCGCTGACCATGCAGTTCATGACCTTCACTGACCGGCAGCGTTGATTTGTTAATACGGTGTAAGACCTTCTTTGTCTGTATATCGAAAATACGCAGATATCTGTAAATGAAATAATGGTTAAAGTAGATCGAATTTCATAATAACTAGGTTCCAGAAAAAAAAGTTGATTTTCACCAGTTAATTTTTCTGCGTATTTTTACCTATCTGAGGAGAGAGTTGCAATATACTGGTTTTTGGGGTCCCAAGCAACGCCTTGTACAAACGATTTATGGTCTCGTAACATGCCCATTGATTTCCCTTTATGTACATCCCAAACAATTGCTGTGTTATCTACTGAACCACTTACGAGAAACTGAGAATTCGGAGCCCAGCTCAAGTCATAAATATCCTCCATATGACCTCGTAATACCTTCAAAACAATCCATACTTCTTTATCCTGCTCGTTTGTGTTATCTAATATATTCAGCGGTTCCTGATCTCCCTTTTGCTTCCAAATGAATACTACACTCTCATCGTCACCGGATGCAAGCAATTCACCATTCGGGGACCATTTTACAGCATTCACAGCACGTTGATGCCTCGTCAAATCTGCAGCTAAATCTAATTCTATATCATTTCCGTCCTCGGTGTAGTTCATGTACCAGATAAGTACATGAGCATCTGTGCCACCAGAGGCAAGACGATGCTTTACGATGGAATTTTCTGCCTGAGCTTGAGATTTAGGTTGTATATCAACACTCAACACTGGATCACGGTTGTGCCAAGATATTTCGGGTATTTTACACTTCATATTTCACACGAATTCTTATTTTATTTGTTCGATGCGGAAGTTTTCACAACCGCAAGAAAATCGTATTTACGCGCCAAATGTCCGACAGATGACATATCAAATGTCAAAAATAAAAGCAGAAGAAAACAAAAAGAAAAAATACGGTTACCGCACGCTCCTATGATAATTGAATAAGAAATTCGGAGAGGTATGATGGTGTACTCCAGTGTTGGCACTGCCTTAAGCTTAGTATCCAGCTCTTAAGAAAAGCAAAAACTCCATATAAAATGACGTACAAGAAATGGCTAAGAAATTTTCTTGAGTCAAATTTCCTTAAGGCAGTACGCAGTTCTTCAGAAATTTAGTACGCTTTCTACTACGGTTTTCTAAAGTTTTTTGTGAAAAAAGAGCACAAGGCAACCCAGGTTTGCAACAGAAATATATGCCCGTTCCATTATTTCTTGAGGAAAGAGTGAGGCAACAGGCTGTGCGTTATCAAAAATGTCAAAATTCCTTGGACAAACACGCGAAATAATGGCAATTTTTTCTTGACCGTTTTCTTAAGAGCTGGATTGGGATTGGGGCGCCAATCACGAATAAGAGAGCGAATCAAGAATAGGAGAGCGAATCACTTGCCGTGGAGACATCGTTTAAGCCATGATAAAAATATAGTAAGGTAGAACCGCTGAGAGGCACTTTTAAAATTCTTGACGTTTCCAAACAATTTAATTTTTAAATTTACTCACAAACTCACACACACAATTTCATTTTCAATCTCAAGCAACAACAATTTCGAACAATTTCAATTTTTTATTTTCACTTTTATATGATTTTAAAATGTTGGCAAACTTCAAAAAAAAAAACATGGCCGACAAATTGAGAGAACGGTTATACCTTGCTGTGTTTTTATCATGGTTTAAGCTTTAAGTTTGACTGAATATTCTCAAATTTGCTGTGGGTACTCCAGTGTTACCGTTTTGTACATATGTATCCAATTGGATACATTTTCACCTTAAATTTTTTTCCTCAGTGTAAATTTAGAGACCTTTTCCCATAAATACTCGTAAGTTGTTTTATTTATTTAAGAAATTTTATTCCAAAATTAAAAATATGCAGATTACATCCCTGCAAATGTCAAAATTAGAAGCAGACGAAAACAAAACCAGAATAAGGTTACCGCACGCTCCATTCCACACTCCTATGGGTATTCGGAAAAACGATGGTGTACTTTCGGACGATCCCACTGAAAATCCTGGAAATATCGTCAAACTTGAATTTATTTAAACAGGTTCTATTTTAATTACCTCTAATTTTCGTTAGCAATTCCACATTTTGTTTAAAAATCCACACTAGTAAAGTATTGAAATGCTCAGAAAGTCCTGTAAACAAGGTTTTAAAAGCACAAAACGATAATACTTTAGTTCCCACGACAGTCGGGTCTACGTAATCGGAACCACCCAGATTTATATCTGGCCAAGGACTGTCACTCCAGCAACACTCCCCAAAGAGTCTTTGGGGAATTTGTATGCTGCTACAACAACAATAATACTTTATTACGAATTTTATATTTATTTAATTATGATTGGGACATTATATTCTGATATTCTCAGAGGTCTTTTTTTACAAAAATTGTAAACGCTTCTGAAGGAGAGGAGGTATAATGGCAATATCGCTTATATTTTAAGTACAATAATGTTAATTGAATTACTTTTTTATTCTAATCGAATTATAAATTCTTACATGGCTGATGCTTTTTAAAAATAACTTAAAATTAACCTAAATATAAATTTTTGACATTATTAAAGCATTTACAGCCCCGTATTATATTGTTTACAATTATGGAATACGTTCTTAAACTGAATATAAAAAAAAAAACAAATAACTTAGATTATATATCATTACAATACATACATTGAAGACGGCCTTTTCTGTCGTATATTTATAATCAGCTTTTCGTTTATAGAAATTACCTTAAAATTTTATGAGCCCCTAACGCACGATCGGGCGAAGGCTGCTCTCACTTTCTCCTATTTGAAGTCTCTTATCGATACCTACATATTATAGCAAAATCAATTTTGTTTTGCCAATTAGAAGCGATTACAGCAACATAATTATAAAAACCGATATATTCCTAAATAAATATGTATTCATTCAATGATTCGATGAGCTGCTTTCAGTGAAGTAAGGATGTTGCATTGCCTGCTCCGCACTAATTCGCTGATTTGGGCGACATACTAACAATTTTTGCAGTAAGTCTCGACCCTTGGAATTAAGACGTGGTACTATTTGGCTCCAGGAAGTAATGGGCGGAAAGGCTACAAAAAATTAACAAATCACATTAAACTCTTAAGGTGTATTATAGCTTAACTGCAGTTAAGAGCTCAGAAAAGTTCAAATAATTCCAACATGCGGTGATCGGAAAGTTTTTTTTTCTTAACTTTTGTTTTTTTCCTTTCGTTTGCTTCTATTTAATAGGTTCGAACTACCCTCTTCGAGTTGTAATCTCAGTTTTTTAAACGGCATAAACTGCAGTTAAGCTTTATGAAATCAACTATTAAATGAGCTCGAATTGTACAAACATGGAAGTGCAACATAATCAGCCAAATGAGTTACTCCAGGCCAGGATTCCTCTGTAGGCGTACCAAGCACACGGAAGATTTTCATCAATTGATCCAAAACATCAGAGCCAGGGAAAAGTGGACGACCTGCATCGGCGAGTTCAGCGAAAATGCAACCAGCCGACCACATATCAATGCTAGTTGTATATAATTTTGCACCAAAGAGCACATCAGGCGGTCTATACCACAACGTAACCACTTCGGCAGAGTAGCACTTTACCGGGATGCCAAAGGCACGCGCAAGTCCTTGAAGAAATAAACAATGAAGTTATTGAAACGATTTTGCCTTTTACCATTTTCTTTCTCTACCAAAATCAGCTAGTTTTAATTCGCCGTTTTTATTGATTAATAAATTCTGTGGCTTCAAGTCTCTATGGAGTACGTTGTGACTGTGACAAAAGGCGAGCCCACGCAGCAGTTGTAACATAAAGCTGCGGCAAACCGCCATATCGATTTCTCCATTCAAACTGTCAAAGTACTTCTTCAAGTCCTGATCGCAATGCTCGAAAACAAGCGTCAGCTTCTTGTCTGAGTGCAATACATCGTATAGACGTACTATATTTTTGTGCTTCAGCTCCTTTGTTTATAAATATTGTTTATTGATTTGGAAAAATACTTAAACCAGTACGCCTACATACCTTCAACAGACAGATTTCCCTGAGTGCCGAGCTGGGCACTCCCTCGTCGTCTTCGTCCAGACGGACGCGCTTCAATGCCACAATTTCCATGGTCTCACGATTACGGCCCTTAAATACAGTACCGTAGGTACCCTCACCGATTTTTTCCAATTTTTCATATTTTTGCATTTTAAGCAGGCAGCAGACAAAAATTACCGTTTATAAACTCAATTTACAGCCAGGAATTTTCGGCAAAAAAATTGCAAATCTTTTAGAACAAGTACCGCAGTGTTGGGAAACAACCATAAGTGTACGTGTGCTAAACGCTGATAAGAGATATCCAGTGCAGAAAAATGCTTGTTCTACGTACTAAATTAAAATAATTTAGCTTCTTTTTTACAACTACATTAATTTGTATGGTACAGGACTATCGTAAGCAGACCAATTCATTATTTGTAAAAATTCATAACAAACAATTTAATAAATGACTTGTTTATTTATTTGTTCACTTGACTTTTTTAAAGTTAATCAGTGTTGAAAAACATCCAACAGCTGTGATTTATTTTCGCGATTACCTTTTAAAACACATTCACCCAATTGTCAGCTCAAATGTCAATTGAGAAAATTCTGTTGTGACTGGAGAAGTTACTTTGCAAAAAATCAAATCAGATGTACATTAATTGTAAATTTTTGCCTGAAAAAAACCATATAAATAGATCAATTTAATATTTGTACGCCTCGCAGGTGTGTGGAAAATGTTTTAACGTGGCGGTGAAGTAAGTAAAACATGGGTAATTTAGAGCCATTAGCTTTGCTGTGAGGCGCTGTTTCTCGCATCACTTTGCTATTTAGCAGTTGTATTCGCAGTTGGAGGTGTCTTGTTGGCTGTTCGGCGGCAATGTTAACGTCGCAGTCGTCATTGTCGCTATTCTTCAGAGCTAACTCGCTTCATTGATATTTACTCCCCCTTTTGGGGTACCCAGATATACATGCTCTCGATTGAGATGGCCTTTGTTGCTCTACTGATAACTTCCAATTAAGCAGCGCAAAGCAAAACAACAACGCTTAATTTGACCAACGAAAATTAGGAAAGTTGCGTACATACATAAGAGTACGTTAGTCAGCGCTGATAAAAACCACATAAAAAAATAAACATCCGGCGTTCGAATATTTTGATTAAAAATTTTCCTAAAATTTCTATGCACTTTTCAGAATATCATCATCATCATTTACTTCTCGACCCGATATTGTAAGCCAGTTGTTCCAACTCTGATAAATCCGCTGTACATTTAAGTTTATTTGAGTTGAGCAATTACATGATGGTGCCGCCAAAGGAAAACGTCGATCTAGAATGTTTTTTGGTAACAAAGCATTCCTGGAAGGGAAAATATAAGCGTATATTGGCTATTGGCACCGCTGGCATTTCTACGTACAATCCAGATAAATTTGATTTGACAAATCGTTGGACATACTCGGACATTATTTCAGCGGCACCAAATAAAACATCAAATGTAGGAGTTTTGCCATTTTTTTTTTTCAAAGTGTCAACAACATTTATATCGGTTAACTCATTGCAGATACCCAATGAATTTGTGCTCACAATAAAAAAAGAGAAACGCGGCGATTCCATACGCTTTTCATCCGAATATCGTAATGACATACTCTGCTCGATATTAAAATACTACAAAGAATTTGCTGATAAGCCTAAAATTTCACAAGTAAGTGGTTTGCAATGAGTTGTTTATGAAGTAGCGCTTACCTCACACGCCCATTTCATTTGTTAATACCTTATCTATTTATGTATGACCATATGTTGTTTGTATGTTATATATACTTAAATGTTTGTTTACACTGTGCATTACAGCGTTTCCCTGCTTATAAATATCATTGGTCTGGCATAAGTTTACCCACAATGCTTGAAGTCACACCATGCTCATTAGATCAGTTGGATCCAACAACCAATGAAGTGCTCACCAGCTACATGTACAAAGACATAGAGGGCATAATAGGTACTAATAGTTCTTTTGATATAATATAAACTGAAATTTGATAGCATGTAGAGTGGCTTTCGGTTTAAATCAACATTATTGAATTTGAGTTTAACTGAACACGGTTTGAGAGAAATGCACTGCACATACTAACAAAAATGTTAGGAAATTTCAGATGCAGGACTGTCTAGAATCTCTAATTTAAACGAAATTTTTATGGATCTCTTACATACTAACCATTAAAGCTGTGCTATATCTCTAAAACTTTTTCTAAAGCAAACACTCTTTTCTTACCCAATTTAATTTGAATAACTTGTCTGCCTTCTCTACGTTATAAGTAGGCATTTCTGACTATGAAGGCGGCATTGTAATGGCCCATGGTGGCTTTAGTCGTTTACATCTCTTCAAAGCATTGAATCATCATGAAATTGTGCAGAACATTGCTCAGAGATCAGTGCAATTTCTTGGCATAGAAACAAAGATACTCAAAAGTCAAATAACACTTGAACAATTCGAGCGTCAACGTTTCGGTGAATATAGGTAAATAATCTGTTTTCATGTTTACTATTTGTATGTATAGTACCTACAACTCCAATTTTCCTCCAATCTAGCGATGACCAGTATCAAACGTCTATGACTGAATTCACTGTTCAAAAAATTACGCCACGTCATCCGGATCCAGTGAAGCGTATACTTTGTCTCACGGAAGCAACATTGCTGGAACGCGATCCGCAGACATATAGCGTGTGCACGCTACGTCTTTTAACGGACGTATTTGCGCTAGTGCGTGATAAAGACAACTTGCAACGCTTTTGTATTGAATATAAAAATGGTATTTTGCGCCAATATTTGACAAATGATCGAGATTCATTATTGGCAACGCTCTTGGATGCAGTACGTTCGAGCGGTAACAAAGATGTGCATGTACGCATTAGTAATACACCGCGTGGCAAGCGTTATGTGCCATTCAATTGTTCCGTCGATGAGGAAACCGAGGCAAATTTGTTGCGTTTAATCATAAATAATGTGCAAAATCCGTCGAAACGATTCGAAATACTGGAACGCTTTAATGCAAATATTCCGCACAGTGGTCTCAATTACAGTGTGACTCAAGATGTACGAAAAAAGTTAAAATGGGAAATGTTATTGCACTTGTTTAACTATTATTAAATTTTTTCTTGTAGAGTCTCTTTGCCGAGAACAAAGAGAAGCTCATCTTGAGCGCGTTGCAAGCCTTGGCACAAAAAGAATTAGACAATCCAACAGCACAATTAAACAATCTCGAAATTGAGGCAATTTTTCACGCACTCACACGTTTGCTCGCTAGTAAAGTAGGGTATGGAGCTTTTACAAACCTACCAGGGTAAATTACTCTCAAAAATTTTCCTTGAGTTACTCTTTTAACATTATAAATGTATACATACTTCTTTTTAGTTTTCGCGAAATTATTGGCACTAAAATAGTTGCCGCTCTACGCCGAAAAGATCTTGCGGTTACATACTCGGCCATCGATATGATCAACTCACTCATGCACTCTGTGAATGCTGATCATGATCTGAAGCAAGAACAATTGAACAAATCATCGATACTGTCGTCCAAGTCATTTTTAGAAACTTTGCTCAACATGTGGACAACGCATGTGGTATGCCAATATGCCTTCATTTATTTCCACACGTAATGTTTCGAAAAATATTACTGATTCTGAGAATTTTTCCTTCGTATAGAGTCATGGTAGCGGTGCACTGGTACTTTCTGCGATGTTGGATTTCCTCACATTCGCTCTATGTGTGCCTTATAGCGAAACAACGGATGGCAAGCAATTCGATACGCTACTCGAATTGGTTGCCGAACGCGGCCGTTATTTGTATAAACTATTTCAACATCCCTCGCTGGCCATCGTTAAGGGTGCTGGACTTGTTTTGCGCGCCATCATCGAGGAGGGTGAGCTACACGTGGCACAACAGATGCAAGCACTCGCCTTGGATGAGGCAGCACTGTGTCGTCATCTCCTTGTTGCATTATATACACCATCAAACGATCCAACGCTGACAACTCACCGCCAGCTTTCGCGTCACTTAATTGGCCTGTGGATTGCAGACAGCGAGGAAGCGATAGAATTGTTTAAACGTATATTTGTAAGCGTTTTTTACTGTTAGTGTTGTGAAAAGAAGTTAGCGAAATCTTTTTAATTTCAGCCCGCTGGCTTGCTAATGTTCCTGGAGAGTGAGGAGAGCGTACCAAAGACTGATGTAGAGGACGACAAGTTAAATTTTCGCGATAATTTGAAACTTGCAATACAACATTCCATTAGAAATAGAAAGAATATCATAGAAAAACACTTGCAGGTATGCAAAAAAAAATATTTTTCACCATATTGGCTTTATTTTCATGCGTATATTTTTTTATTGGTTTCAAAAGGACATTAAGCATTGGGGCATGAACCTCTTGGAACAACAGGATCCCGCTGCCCAGGCTATTAAAAATCGTCCGGTAGTGCTGCGTAATCGTCGTCAGCGAAAGAAAAAGGACGATGCTGTTTTAAATTTGCCTTTCTTCTTTTACAACTTCGCCAAAGACCATAGTCTGCCGAATTTAATATGGAATCATAAGGTAGCGATCGCTAGTCTTATATATAAATTTAGATACAGTTTTTTATAATTCTTTTATGCACATTGCACATTCGACGCGAAAATAAGTTTTATTATGCAAAAAAAAACAAGATTCGTGAACAAAAAACAATGAAGACTATTCGTCTACATACCCATTATATATTTTTTACAGACTCGTGAAGAGTTGCGTATTTGCTTGGAAAATGAACTACGTCAATTTATGAATGACCGTGACCTAGCTGGAAATATGATTGTGGCGTGGAATTATCAAGAGTTCGAAGTTACTTATCAAGTACGAAATTCATTATAAAGCAGACACAAATTTCATAACCAAATCCACAGTTTATAAAAAAGAAACGTAATTATTTGTATGTATGTATATACTTTTGTAGTGCTTGGCTGATGAAATCCAAATTGGTGATTATTATATACGCTTAATCTTGGAGAAAGACGATTGGCCACAAAATCTCGTAAAAGATCCGTAAGTTCTTTTAAAGCCATAGCTTACAGAAGATTTCTAATAATTATAATTTCTTAAATTTCAGCATCGAGCTCTTCAATGCGCTTTATCGTCGTGTGCTATGCCGTCAGCGTGTCAATGATGACCAACTTACGGTGGTGTCGCTGCAAGCCCTTGCGAAAGTCTATCGTCGTTATCACAAAGAAATCGGTCGTTTTAGTGATATGTCTTATATCCTTCAGTTAACAGATCGGGTATGGGCCAATATGCTTGTTAATTTCATAAATCCTCAAAAAATGTAGTTCAATTTACTTGCAGTGCCTATCCCCATCACTGCGCGATGCACTCATAAATCTTATATCCTGCCTGGTGCTGGAGAAATCCAATTGCCGTCCACTTGTTGATCACGTGCAGTGCCTTGTTGATCTGATCACTCTGGCACATTTACATAAAGGGCGTGCGCAGCCCAACACAAAAACCAATGTCATAGAGGCTGGACCAAATATGGATGCGTATGAGGAGAAGGATTGGTATTACAATATTGAAAAAGAGGGACAGAAATCAGAACGACAAGGCCCGATCACATACTCGGAATTGAAGGAGCTCTGGCAAAAGGGTGTTATCACACCAAAAACGCGCTGTTGGGCCATCGGCATGGATGGTTGGCGATCGCTACAACAAATTCCGCAACTTAAGTGGTGCCTTATCGCCAAGGGTACACCCATATATAACGAAACCGAGTTGTCCTCAAAGTTATTGGATATACTCATAAAATGCACGAGCTTCTTCCCAAGTCGCACTCGAAATGGCACGGCCGTACTTATACCCGGACCCAAACTTTCACGTAAATTATCGGAATTCGTGTGTCTGCCGCATATTGTACAGGTGTGCCTCACACATGATCCCGGCTTGTTGGAGCGCGTTGCAACGCTGCTCTGCCAGATTATGGAGGACAATCCGGAAATGCCGAAAGTATACTTGACGGGTGTATTCTATTTCATGCTCATGTACACCGGTAGCAATATACTGCCTATAACAAAGTTCCTAAAAATGACACATATGAAACAGGGCTTTCGCAGTGATGAGGTGAATATGAATATAGTACACACAACGTATTATGATAATTTTTAATTCATAAACTTAACTCAATCTATGTGTTTTAGACATCGCAATCCGGCATAATGCATCGCAGCATTTTGGGACAATTGTTGCCTGAGGCAATGGTGTGCTTTTTGGAGAATTACAGCGCTGAGAAATTCGCGGAAATATTTTTAGGTGAATTCGATACACCTGAAGCGATTTGGAGTTCAGAGATGCGACGTTTGTTGATTGAAAAAATATCTGCACACATTGCGGACTTCACGCCTCGTTTAAAGGGGCACACGATGGCGCGGTAACTTTAATTGATATGTACTCTTTAGAGAAAATATCCCTTATACCTCTATTTTCAGCTATCCATACCTTGCCATACCAGTCATTAGTTACCCACAGCTGGAAAATGAACTCTTCTGCCACATCTATTACCTGCGTCACCTTTGTGATACACAGAAATTTCCCAACTGGCCCATTGCTGACCCTGTGCAGTTGTTAAAACACACATTGGATGCTTGGCGAAAGGAGGTTGAGAAGAAGCCCCCACAAATGACTGTGCAACAGGCGTACCAAGATTTAGGTATCGATTTGGCAAAAACACCAAAGCCAGATGAATCGTTGATACGCAAAAGTTACTATCGTTTGGCGCAAATGTACCATCCGGATAAGAATCCGAATGGTCGTGAGATATTCGAGAAAGTTAATCAGGCTTATGAATTCTTGTGTTCGCGCTCAGTGTGGTCTTCAGGCGGGCCGGACCCCAAGAACATAGTGCTTGTATTACGCACACAAAGTATACTTTTCGAGCGCTATGCCGATGGTGCGTTTTTTCTTATTCTTATAAAGCCTTTTAAAGCACTTAATAAGTTATTTTCCCTGTATTTCAGTATTGCGTCCCTATAAGTATGCTGGCTATCCTCAGCTGATAAAGACCATCCGCCTGGAGACACGTGATGATGAACTTTTCTCGAAAGAGGTGCAACTGCTGTCAGCCGCATCGGAGCTTTGCTATCATACCGTGCACTGCTCTGCATTGAATGCGGAAGAATTGAGACGCGAAGAGGGTATCGAAGCACTTTTGGAGGCCTATACTCGTTGCGTATCCATTTTGGGCGCCGATTCCAAGCCCGACTCGCTGCACTATCAAGTAATCTCGAATGTGACGCGCTGCTTCGAGGTGGCCTGCAACTTTGAAAAATGCAAAGAAAAGATTATCACGTTACCACAGCTGCTCTCGGATGTCTGTCGCGTGGTATACTTTAAGGTAAAAGAGATTTCAATTAAGTCATATTTGCAATTTATTGACTAACTCTTATCTTCTCCTTAAGCACACACTCTCTGTCAGCCTAGTGACCAGCATGGCGGCCAACAACTATGAACTTCAATGTAACTTGGTACGTAATGGCGTACTCTGGTCGTTGCTAATATTCTGGTTCGATTATGATTACACGCTGGATGAGAGCGGCGTACAAGCTAGCGATAAAAGCAATCAGCAACAGGTGGCTAACAACTTGGCGAAAATGGCTGTGCTAGCTTGTATTGCACTCGCTGGTTACGGCTTAGAATTGCATAAGACACCCAATGGAACTGACAGTGCCAGCGGCGATGGCAGCGAATCACCGACCACAGCTGCAATTGCATCTATACCAAATGTGGCTATTGCTTCACCCTCCTCCTCAGCATATACGAAAAATGCACATAACCCGCTGCAAAATGCCACCAAGCAATTAGCTATAACGACTGGGAGATCCGCCGAAGCGGGGACGAAGGTTGTTGCTAAACAGGATTCCAATGCCAGTAACAAATCAGATGCAGTTTCCAATGCATCATCCACTGAAAAGGAAGCAAGTGGGGAGGCGAATAGCAGTTCAAGCGCTAAGAGCAACGACATAAACCTACCGAAATATACAATAATTTCTGAAGCGAAAAACACAATCGTGAAGCAGGTGCTGGATCGCTTGCTCACACCATACATAGCGAATAAATTGCCCATTGAACGCGCCGGCGATGTAAGCAAAGTGTTTAATTTACATTAAATTTTTCATTACGGGACTTTCTTTGCACAGATTTTAAAATTACTTACATCAAATACGCGAAATCCCTACTTAATCTGGGACAATGGTACGCGCGCGCAACTGATTGATTTCTTGGAAACGCAGCGCACCACGGCTGTTAAGGAAACATTCGAAGATGTAGCTGAGGTGTATAATTTAGTTTCAGAATTCCAATACGATGCTAGCAAGTAAGCGTAAAATTCGGATTAAATTTAATTTATTCAATAACAATCGTCATCTTCAACTCCCAATAGAGATGAACTACATATTGGCGGTGTCTACATACGTATCTACAATGAAATGCCAACATTCCCCATATCCAAGCCGAAACAATTCATCATGGATTTGCTGGAATATCTTAAGCAAGCTTATCATTTTCTGACCACCAACAACACTGACGGAAAGGTCAATTCATATCCTGCACCTATTGCGACCAGCAAAATAGGACAAGATGGCATTCTTACACCAATACTGGCGCCGAATCATCCACAATGGCAGCAGCAACCCCCAAGAACTGGCAAAACGTTTGATGAAGTGCTGAACGCTTACAATCGCTCAAAGATACGTAACAAACTCGAAGCTAATGCCTTACTCGAACAGCAACAAATGCAACAGCAATACAGATACGATTTTGTAAACGATGCAGCATTGCAGCCACATGTGATAATGGTGCTGCAGGCCCTAATGGCTGTGATAAAATGCAATGCTGAAGTGGAGATACAATGCATTGGCAGTTTCAATATGATCTTTGGTTTCCTAGCGCATAATTTGTTTAAAGACGTATGCAAGTGCTTGCTTTTAATTCCACTGATATTTTCACGGGTTAATAACCGTTTCGGTTTTTTTTTTCAGAACACCACCGTTAAAACGATAGCGCTCGAAGTGGTTGCCTTAGTTTCACGCAATAAGGAATGCGTGTCGGAGATAGCGGCTTGCGAATTGCTTGGCCAATTTTTGGTAGCATTAAAAGATCCCGATTTGCGCAGCAGTCAAGTAAAAGTGCTCGAAACTATGTCTGGTCTCATGAATGTACAGGAAATGATTAAGGAGGCACAAAACAAGGGTGCCGTCATTTATTTGTTGGATATGTTTTGCAATTCGCGTAATCCACAGATACGTGAAATGTGCGCCGAAATAATGGCCAAGATGACTGCGGATCGATTAAGTGGGCCGAAGGTAAAATCTGAATTCCCTGTTTATATTATATGCACCACGAAAACGAAAATATGCAGTATTTAGTCACAAGTGTAGAGAAAAACATAACCTCAAAAAAGTTTAAAGGCTGGGACATAATACTTTTTCCCATAATTTTTGGATGTTGCTCGGACCACCTTATTCTTATTTCATATTTTTGTAGTAGGAAAATGAATTTATATTTAAACGTTTTGTGGTGAACTCTACACTTGACATAAAACATAACCTCCAAACATTTTAATATAAGGCGTAATAGAGGTGGGTTTTAACACACCCAAATCAGTCTAAATGAGAAAAAAGCCTCATATTAAAAAAATTAAAGCTTTTTAAAACTTAAAACAGGCTGAACTAAGTTTTGATAGAGGAGGCCATTTTAGAAAAAACATAACCTCAAAAAAGGGCACTAAGGTAAAGGTTAAACCCAGACGGCGGTCCACAAATTATATGTAACTTGAACTGATTTTTGTAAAGTTTACTTTATGGGCTTCCTGATTATTTTGCTTGTATGAGAACATAATTTTTTGTTTGTCATCACGCAGGTGCGTATTACAGTATCAAAGTTTCTGCCGCCACTATTTGTCGATGCTATGGTGGAATCGCCACAAACTTCGGTGCAATTATTTGAATCCATACATGAGCATCCTGAACTGATATGGAATGATAAGACCAGAGGCAATGTCTGTGATGCCGTAGCGGATTTGTGTGAGAGGTAAGTTTTTCTAGAAAAAATTTCAGTGTATGCATTTATTTCATGCGCCATACAGTTTCTATCGAGCGCAAAACGTCAACGAAAAACATCTTTGGAAGGATCCAGAAATGCTGAAGGACATCGTCTCCAATGAAATTGTAGTCGCAGGCGTGTATTTACGTCTATTTGTCAGCAATCCTGCATGGACGTTACGCAAGCCTAAACAGTTTTTAGCAGATCTGCTGGATTTCGTTGTGGAGCAAATCAGCAAAAGCTCTAGCGAGGTAAAAGTCTTAATGAGGGGCAAAGTCGTTCATTGCTTTTTTAAACCAAAATTATGTATATTTTGTTTCACCACTTACAGAAAGATACATTGGAATTGTCAACAACAGCTTTAGTAGAGCTACTGCGTTCGCAGCCAAATCTGGCCGATGATATACCGGTTTTGGGTCACATACCTAAGCTTTTTAATTTGTTGCCCGTGCAGCCTAAGAGCACACTATCAGTATTACACCAACTCTCATTATCGGAGGTGAGTATGCGATTTTGTGCAGTTACTACAGTATATTATTTTCTTTGATTTCAATCAATTCACCTAAAAATATCGCTTTAATTACTTGTAGTTTTGTGTAAGTGCTGTTTCACAAACTGAATGCATATTGCCGCTCAAGAAATGCATGGAACATCATCGCGATTGCATTGAAAAGTCCTGTGAGACACTCAGCAGACTATTCAAATATCAACATGTAAACATTTTGTGATATCGTTAATAATACGGCTTATCTCATAGGATTATTGTACTCTTTTGTAGGATTCACTCATCAGTCAATCGTTGGAAGTGAATTTAGTGCCATTTTTATTGGGCCTCCTTGATAGTCGTCTGGAGTATGTGGACAATGCATCCGCTGTGAAGGCGCAAATTGTTGCCGCACTTAAGGGTATGACACACAATCTCAATTACGGTGAACGGGTTACGCAAATATTGCTGAAACATCCCATATGGGCGGAGTACAAAGATCAACGGCATGATCTTTTCATAACCGACACCAATATAAGGGGATATCTGACAGGTATAAAGATACTCTCAGCCATTTTTTAAAATGCTAAAGTGACTTACTAATGCCTCTATTTAGGTGTAAATCCCACCGCTGGCTACTTGACGCAAGGACCAACGCAAAGTGTCGACGTACTCACCTCACCACCGCCCATTGATCGCGATGATCCGTCAGCGCGGCCGGCCATAGATTAGTAAACATTCAAGGCTTGCTGCAACAGCAAACACATGCTGAAGCTTTTGTCGATGCTATGGCAACAGAATAAGACAATTATAGTATTGTCAAGGCTTTAATTGAGATCACGATGTAAAGCAAAGCAATTTCACTGCATGTGTTATTTGCAACATTGGTGCATAGCGCTTGTAGACACTCAAAAGAAATTACGCGGCACCGAAAAACATTGAATCCAAATGCACCCAATTAAGGCGTCACATAATGATTTATTACTTATTTGTGAACGTTGTTTTTGTATTACTATATTGTTACTAAGTTACATGTTTCTTTATACAAGAGCGTTAAGCAAAGTATTTTTTTTTTTTCAAAATTAAGAATAATTAATGTTTCCTTAAATTGTGTATATCTACTAATTCCTAAATGAATTGAATATTTTTTAATGCACTTACTGTGGGATCGATATATATATATATACATGTGTGTGTTTTTTTAATCCAAAACACCAATACACCAATGCCAGTTATGCTTGCAACAATGGTGTTAAATTAAATTGAAAATTGCAGCGTAGCAGCTTGTACGCAAGTCAAGCAAAAAGCAAGTAATATGAATACGCAACTAAATTATCATAATTTTCAAGCATACTCACTGGAACACACACAGAAATACGCACTTAATTACATGGAATTTTTATATTTGTAGTTTATAATGTTTACAAATCCATACATACATATGTAAGTATGCAGCATATAGTACATAATTACATACACACAAAATGCATATAAATATATACATACATACACACGTACATATATAAATATATCTAAACTTAAAATGATACGGAAAAAATCAATCTTAATAAAAATCCGATTCATTTTAAATGAATGTGCTATGCAATGCTATTTGGAATTTTTGCAACATCAGCGTATTTTTTCATGTGTGCATTTCTTAATAGTTGCCCATTGCGTGGTTTTAATTATGGATTGAATACTAAGCAGAACGCCAATCTAACATAGTCAATTGTAGAGGCAATTGCCGTAGCCACTATCCGCCACCGTTCCAAGTACAACACCAAAAAAAGGTTGTACTTCGCGTTGACAATACGAAATGAGTAGAGACGTTGCAGATAGCCGAGGACGTCGAGTTTCTCGGAGAAAGCTATATCATAGTGGCTGAAAAGTGATGAGGATTATAATAAAAGATGTAAATCGGTTTGTCGTATGGCAATAAAACAAAAAAACCAAGA